CTTCACTGAAAGTGAGTGGAGTAGTGGTGGCAAGACATCAAATTGGGCCTTGTGTTCATTGTGCATGCACGCCCTTGTTATTAGGATGGTAAAACTACCTTCTACAGCCAGTACTCTTACAGCCCACATTTTTGACATGCACTCTTCATAACTCCAACCCTTTGCTATAATTTGACATAAGTGTGCATGCAGTTAAACTTATCCTTTAGTCCTCCTTTCTCACCTCCTTGCATGTCTTCATTTGTATGCATACATTGTATAATCGTTCATGCTGGTCATAAAACCTACAGGAGTTTAAATTGAACTGAAGTCCCAGATGCTTTAAAAGAATTTATGTTGCATAATTGTACTGGTTTGCCTGAAAACAAACAATGATATACCGCTAAAATATTCTCTCAGGGAGATGACTCAGATCCTTCCTCATGGCTTAGACCTTGCTTGACTGCCGATGGTACAACCTGTAATCTCTTCTTTAGGTTCAGGGCAGCAGAAGCCAAACAAAAGGGTAATGGTAAGGACTGGCTTGACACTGGATGAGAAAGCAAGAGTTGTTTACAGGTTTTGGAGGCACTTGAATCTTTCATTTGCTTTGCATCGAGGAAAAGCTGAGCATTTGGGAGAAACAAAACCCCAACCCCAGGAAAAAAGGGTACATGCAGTGATGGGACCTTTGACCTTGGGGCCAACTCCCAGCGAAGCCCCTGGGACACTGCATGGGCTTAAGGATCCATTCTCATGCAGCTGATGGCAGGATTGGGGTCCATGGAAGTTGATCCTGAAAACCACCAGCTTCCAAGACAATCGCTGACAGTCTCTTCCTCGGAGAAGGCCGTAGGGGAAACTGCTTCTCCACTCCTGCTTATGACTACCCCACCAGGTTTCTAAGCCATCAGAAACAGCTCATTTGTACCTCTGTGCTTGGCCAACATCTGAGGTAGAAGGGAGAAGAAAGAACTGGTTTGGTGGTTTCCGGCCTTACTGAGCATTGAGTGCCCAAGAAGTCTTCAAGGGGAAGCAGTGATGTGCACCAGCTGCCCTGCCTAACCCTAGATCTGGGAAGGGGAGAGCAACTCCTTTCCTTACTTCAGCCCTGAGATGAAGAGGTTATGTGGGAGATTGCCAAACAGAGTCACTGTTGGGACCCCCCTTTCTTCTGATACTTTGTGAAGAAGCCTGAAGATAAGCTGGAGTCTACAAGAAGGGTTGGAGCTGAAGAGAGGAGGGCTGTGTGGTGGGAAATCAATATTGATGGCAAGAGAAGGACCAGGGCTGTCCTGAGAATCGGCGGCATTAGGGAATGAGCCAGTGGAGCAGTGGACGTGTTGAGGCTGAGCAGCTGGTAGAAGAGGCGGCCTAGAAGAGGGTAGCAGATGTTTGGGGGAGGGAGGGGATGTACTCAAAAGGCTGAGAATTCACTGGACATGAAGTGTTGGCCAAGAACTGAGTGGGGCAGTATAGGATATAGGGAATGATGGAACTGGGAGAGAAAGGGAAAGATGTAGGTGGAGAGGGTAAGAGAGCAACAGTTTAGTTGAGACCTCTCTGAACCAGTTAGTCTACCTGGCTCTGCTCTCTGACAAAATTTAGACTAATACAAGTTGCTGAGGAAGAAGAGAGTGGTCTGATTTTGTGGGGCTCGATACAACTGGGTCCCATCTCTCATAGGCCCTGAAGATGGAGGGGAAGGCAGAAGCCAGCAGTAACTTGTGTGTGGAGCAGACAGTGCACTGTTTTATGAGAAGTGCAGAATGGGAAAAGTTGCTACAAAGGTCCATTTTCCAATATACCCCCACTGGGCCCATGCTGGCCTGTTCAAGGGTGAAGTGGAGAACATTTCCATAGGGATGTAAATGCCCTGAGTACAGCTATTCTGCTTGTTCGTCTCAACTCTCGTGAACGGGCAGACATAGGGCTCATGTGGTACACTGGGGTCTCCAGCAAGCCCTCAGAGCTGGGCTAATTCCATCACCCTTCACCAAGGATCCTACTTACATTTCAGGGAAATTTTCTGTTGCAGCTATTATTTTACTCTAAGCTATTATTTCTGGGTTGACATTTCATTACAGATATTTCTTTAGGCATCTGGGCAGCTTTAACCCCATTGCAGTGGTTTCTGATCTCGCTATGTCAGTGCTTTGTGTATTTTTTTTAACCAGAGTCATTATTCTAAACAAGTTTTTCTCTCTATTATTTTCTAATAGTTCTGGTCTATGCCTCAGGAACATATACTCTAGCTGCAGGTAATTAATTTAATTTGACATCAACTGTACAAAAGGTATGTAAAACCTTTAATAAATGTACAACATTCAGTCAGTGTTTAAATTGCCTACAGCAACGGTAGTCAGTCTTTAAGAGCAGCAGAGCTGATTTGGTATCTAATAGGATTGTAGGGAGCAACAAAGCAACGGCATAATGATCTTGCAATGTTTACGGTGTGACATTGCAATAGTGCGTGGTGTTGCATTGTTATGAACCACCGCCATGCACTAAACTGAGGCAGTTCTGCAGACTTATATATGGGTTCAAGTCCAAATATGTGCTTTACTGAATACAACTGCATTGAGACAGTGTTTTCTGCTTGGCTATATGTGTTGCTTAATATATACACCAAGCTGAGATTTTCAAAAGTGACTAAAGATTTTGGGCAGCCTTTTATCCTGAGTGTTCAACCTCAGACACTTTTAAAGGGTCTGATATTCAGAAAGAGCTGAGCGCCCATGATCTCAGAAAATCATGCTCCTTTAACACCTTTAAAGGTGTTGTATCACTTACTGTTTTGAACACATTGGCCCTAGATAGATGAATACACATATTTCATTTACATGCACGCACACACTCACTTTATACTAGTGTAGCACGCTTGAATTCAGCTGAATCTCTCCCAATTTATATCAGAACCAGGCACCTGAATGTTCACAATACACTGTATTTGCATGCAATACAATGCATGCCTCAGCAAATCATATCTGGTTTTAAAAGGGAGTCTGTGGTGTAAATTGTGAATATAACTATAATCAGAAAACACTTTTGAATAACCTTTCTAATATTCCATTCTTAGGAGAAAGACCTAAGCCTGCAAATCTGCAATGTGGGGGGTGGGTGGTGGGGTGTTACAGAACAGTGGAAAAACAAGTTAACTTTACTGCAAAGACTAAAATGAGAAACCTGTTCCTTTCTGAAGTTCAGTTGGCTGTTCCAGCCCTCCTCAGGGGAATACATCAATTCACAACAGCTGTGGACAGCTATTTAAGTCGGAGGCCTCAATAGCTTAATTGGGGAGGCATGTTAAAAGTTAACACATCTGTGTCCAACAGGGTGAATACTGAGGTTAACAGATTATGTTGCAAAGCAAATCATCCTGTAGTCTTCCCCTTGAGTATGAATAGCATAATTGCTTTGCTGCTACCAGCAAGGTAGTGCAATCTTCTCCATCAGTGAGCTCCCACCATGGAAGGAGTTAACATATGAAAACCAGGTTGCCCTTATACATATGCAGAAGCATTCCTGCTTCTCTCATTTAATAGCTTAGCAGTGGCAGCATATCCATTGGTGCTTACATTTTGGATTTCAATATTATAGCTTAAGGTAAAATGGAAAAAAGACACCTATGAGAAAAAACAAAATAACACCCCTGGCCACTTCTCCTGCTTCAGTAATTTGAGCATGAATTGCTTGGAATAATTTCTCTGGACTAGGAAAAGAAAAGGAGTAGTGCAGGGGTCCTGCATTCATTCAGGGGTTGGTCTCTCTGACCTTTGCGATTCTTTTCAGCTCTATGATTCAATGATTCCTTTCATTAGTTTATTAGGAAATTAAATAATAATAATTTAAAAAATAGGAAATAATAATTTAAAAATAGGAAATAATAATTTAAAAATTAGGAAATGAAAAATAATAATAATATCAGCCAAATAAAAAAGCCGGCATCAAAGGGCTGTGCTTCGACTGACCCGAAACAAAGCATGTTGTCCACATTTTGTGGACAATATCAAAAATCTTGTCCTGATGGGAAATGCGCTGTCGAAATCTTGTGTGAAATGAAATCCACGTCCTAGGGGTTAAAAGCTGTAATATTATGAGTGCTGCAAGGCGGGCTGGGGGACCTCTACCATTGTGTTGGGTGCTGTACAAGCACCGAACAAAGAGATGGTCCCTGCCTCACAGGGATTGCAGTCTTAGTATCAGGAGTGGGTCACTTTGCTTACCATAGGGATTATGCACAGAAGGGTTCAAATGCAAGGGTCCTCGTGCCCCCAAACAAGGGAGGAAGGGCAGATCAGCCTGCTTTCTTACTAACTTGAATGGGATACCCACCCTGCATATAGGGAGAGCTGCCACAAAGTGTGTGGGTACAAAGTGGGTGACACACCTGAGCTCACACAAGCAGATGTCAGGTACAGGGCTTCCCCAGCTTCAGGCACGAAGCTTTCCACAAATATTACTGTACTCTGCTTCCATGACCATTTCTACTGGTCAACTCTTATTAGAATAATTTAGGAAAATTAGCATCCCACAGGCCACAAATTCAGCAAAGCAGACTGATTTAAAAAGTCAACCAAATATTTGTGGGGATATTTGGGGGGGTTTTCCCCTAGTTTCCATTCCACTGTATTTATCATACAGCATTTTTTTCCTGAGCATCTAACTTTATTGATGTGCCTTTTAATATAAATCAGTGACCATGTGTCCATTTGTGTGTCTGGCACAAGAGAAGATTTTGGTATTCCTTCCAAACAAGCTTTGGGTTTGGCTCTGGATCTGACTCCAAGAGTTAATATTTCTGGAACTACAACCTCAAAACCACAAATAGAAAGAAAAATAAAGTAAGATAAATGAGTATGAGGTTTTGGAAACCCCAGAGAGTGAAAAACGGATTTTACTGTGTTTTGTAACCTTCCTCTCAGATTAAGGAAAATGGACATTATAATGAAATTATGTACTGGAAACCACAGAGAATTACTAGATAAATCACAAATGCACACATTCAAACTCACACGTACCTGGGGAAACGAAGCTTGAATGTTGGTCCTACAGCTCTGACAATACCAGCCGAAACCGTTTTGAGCTAAAAGGAAATAGTTTGTTGCTTGTATTAGTCACTGCATCCTCTCTGTGGCCCAGGCAGTAGCAGGAACATCACTCACTCACAGACATAGTCAAGATGCTACAGGGCTTCCTGGGACTTCTCTGTTGATTTTTTTTTTTTAATAAAAAGTTGCAGTTTTTACAAAATCTGCGGGGAAAAAAATTAAAAAGTAAGGAGTCATACTGAAAAGCTGAGTTTCATTATGACACAATCATTGTTTTCCTAAGCTACTGTTGTGCCTCAGAGGAGTTTTAGTCCAGGCACTCTTTGACCCCATTCTCTGCTCCAGAGCATTATTTTTAACCAGACGACATCTTCCATGGTGCCCCTGTCTCTCGTGTGGTTGAACACATGCAGTACTTCACAGGGAACAGGTGACCACAGCACATCAGAGGACTTCCATAAAAAATGTCAATAGTCTAGCTTGCCATCCAGATTCAGAAAGAAAAATCAAAAATCCCAAGAAGGATATAGGTATACAGGTAGGTATGTAGAAGGTATGCAGAAAAGGCTCTAATACATGGCAACATATGAATGGTGTGGCTCACATGACCAATATTGTACATCGAAGTACATGGCAGCACAGATGAGCAGAAACCTTCATTGGTTTAGGATGAGCCACAGGAGTACATCATCGAATGTGGAGAACCCACCAGGACAGGGCACATTGGGTGCGTTTCACGTCCATAGATAGTATGCTATATGTCTTACGTGTGCACAGATTACTATATGAAGTCAGGTCGTCCTTACAGCGTGCTGTAAAAAAAAAATCCAATATAGAGACTCCAGATCCTACGATCATGTGAGTCTTTGCTGCTTCTCAGGATCTGTTGATTTCCAGCAAATGAGAGTCTCCGCCATGACCTCCTAAATTATAAAACATACACTACATACATGCTGTTTGCATGCAAGTCACATGGGGAAGTTTCTGGAGACATTAATCCACAACCGTCCATGAGTTTTGTTCTGGTTACATCTGTCTACATCCTTATGGAGCAATTTCTTCTCTGGCTCCAGTTGAACGGAGCATTCTTTTCTAGATCAGACAGCAGCTGTTCTTTATGTGGCACCCCATGGCCGGGTATTACAGGATCCCATTGCTTCTTGTCAGTCAGTAATACCTATCAGATCGAAGTTCCTTTCACTGCCAGGCATGCTGGTTCACCAGTTTTTGCCCTTAATTTCTGTATATTGGCATATTGCCTCTGGATTAGGCTCCAAAATATCTATGAGTTTCTATCCATTAACCCAAGTGGGTTTTGGAGCATGCCGCTGTGATATTCTGTTTTGACTGTGTACCTATATTTATTTAACACCTTTAGTTTGACATCCCATTATTTAACCAGACAATCTAGGAAGGTGTCTACAAACATTGGTGCATACACTTTGAAATTTGCTTTCTGCTGACATTTTTGTCAGCAAACCTAGATTTCATAAATGCTTCTGGGGAATGTACATGAAAGGTAAGCGAAGGCTAAAGCAAATTCATTAAAAAATTTCAAGTGAAATTTTTTTGTACGTCCTCCTTCTCTCTACGCTTTCATGCAGAATGAGCCTGGGCTGTTTTTATCCGAGTTCTGCTCCTTTACCCCTCTTTCCATCTACTCACCACAAACCTTTCCTGTGATTAACTGGCGCTTTCAAACTGCTGGCATGGTTGGGACTCTGGGTTAGATACTGGGTACCATTTTTATTTGGGCTGGTAGCCTGATAACTTTGCAGTGAGACTGCAGGCCAAGTCATTTAACTGCTGAAAGTCCTCTAGTGCTTTCCTACAGTTCTCCCTGTGTGTCCAGGATGGACAAGGTCCCCCCACAAATCAGTGGGGAAGAAGCATGGAGTAGCTCAGCTTACCATAGTGTAAAAGAACGGTGGGATGTAGGGACAGTAATTTAGGAAACAGAGTCATGAGGCTACTCAGGTGCTCAAAATCACAAAAAAATACAAAAAATCACCAAAAAATGCACAAAAATCATCATTTCAGAATTAACCTGAATTCTGAAATGATGATTTTTGTCTTCTGTCCCACTCACTGACAATTACCTTTTCCTTTAGCAGAGCAACATTTTATGGGCAAAATTCTGCTACACCCCTGCAACACTGATTTCACAGCGGTAAGCGAAGAAAACATTTGGCCCCTTACCCTTACTGCGTCAAATGCATCTCACTCACCTTAGCTTGTCTTGGCTTCCCCTCTCTTATTTGTCTTCAGATTGCTCATTGGTTTTTATTCCAGATTGAGCACCATTCCTCATTTCCCACAAAACTACTGAGAGAGAGGCAACTATTTGGTTACTTCCAAATAAAAGAAGGAACAAAATCAAAGTTAGATCAGTAGTTCCATGGAAAATGCCCTGCAAACACATCCTTGCTGCTATCAAGTAGGAAAAAGAGGAGGGGGGAAATAATGTGAAAATCTGACCTGATTCACCATCTTCACTAAACACTGTCTCTAATGGGCATCCCTAAGTGGAACAAGCCTGCACAAAGGATTTCTGAGGTATTGATTTGATTGATCCCAGAGCTGGGATCACAGTTTTGAGAGCCAGATTCTGCTCCCGCTTGCAGCTGCGTCACTCGGCTGATGACATTAGGATGGTTCCAGGTGTGCACCAGCGAAAACAAGAGCAGAATGCAACACGCTCTCTCCTTTTCATCTGCATACAAAATGGTCGAGGTCAGAGTTACATAAAATACGCTGAAAAAATGAGAGCTATTCTCTCAGTAACAGCGAAGCGAAATGAAACAGCAATATGATGCATTTATGACTTATGCCTTGCTCCACGTGTTACTATAATCCAGGCGTCACATGCCATGACACAAAAGTGGGAGTTTGCTAGCTTGTCACCAGAGCAGATTTTTTTTTAATTGCTTTATTGTAACAAACCAAATGAATAGCACCCGTTAGAATGAGTTTGGATTGGAAGGGAGTCAGGTGGATTGAAAAGAGGGCAGTGAAAAGTAATAGATCAGGCAGGGGAAAAGTGATGTACCACAGGTCCAGTCTCATGTCACATCTTCATTAATGGAAAACAACATGTGAATGAGAGCTGCAGATGTTCTTAAATGGGGAGAAGTCATGACCCACCAGGTTCATTTGCAAATGCAGCCTTAAAGCCTTGCTTAAAATAAAGCTGGACTGGCAGCAAGTGAACTTGCCTCCTCCTCCACCGAAAACATATGGTATTTTGCATTGGCGGCGCAACGTGCTAGGCTCAGTGCTCGCAGCACTCATGGTATCCGGTTAGAATCAGGTGAAAGCGACGGGAGAGATGAAAATAGCTTTGCAACCCACAGTACCGCCCACAGAAAAGCACAAATGACTGATGAGCCGTTCTGCTCCCAGGATCAGGAGATGCAGGCATTTGCTTCATCTTTAGTTTCTAGTACAATACCAGCAACACTACTTACACGTGCGGTGCCCAGAGCGTGCTTGTTGCTTGAGGGGCAAACCTAGTCCCTGCCTCAAAGAGCTTACAATCTAAAGGGACAAATGAAGACAACCCCAGAGCTTGCCCATGTCTTTCTTGATCCCACAGTCTCTACCTCATTGCAGACACAGGGGAAGAAGACCATGTACTGTTATAATATGCACTAATAAGCAGCATTCTCCCCAGTGATCGTTCACCATTTGAGCAAAACCAGAAAGCAGAGGGCTGCAGCTACACACAGTTGGCACACTTGCACCCTGGCCTTTGGGAGAGCGTGCAAAGAGCCAGCTAAGTTATGGTAGCTCCATACCCTCAGAATACCCCATCTTATGGGAATTTCCAAGTAGGGGACGGGGCATCCGATTTCAATGGAGAGAACCTGGCTGTGAAGTAAATGGGGTGCTGGGTTGCCAACCCAGGAAGAGGTGTTTGCTTGCACGCTGCCCAAATCTAAGTAAATCTAGCAAGTAATAGGGAGAGATGGGAGAGCCTGATCAAAAGCTGAAAGCAAGAAGGTGTCTGGACTTCCCCCTTTCCTGTCTGTTATCTCTCTAATTCATAGGGCTTGGTTCCCAATTTCTAGGACAGGAGGAACTACTGCACCAAATAATATGGAGCTGAGGGGGGAGGAGGAAGACTTAGGAGGTAACTGAGTTTTTAAGTTATATTGGGGAAAAGTGGGGGGGCACTATGCATGTCTTAAAGCCTCATCGGCAACATCTCTGCGTCACACCTCATCACCTTAACACTTCAACACTAGCAATGGATGAGGCTCAAAATATTCTGAGGTCCCTTGTTTGGTTCCATAAACCACATCAAAAACCAAGCTCAGCTCAGATCTTCAACTTCCCCAAAGTTTGGGGGTTTTCTCCCATGAGTTTAGAAAGCCAGGAGAACAATCAAATGTGAAAAGGTTTCTTGGGGGGAGGAGGCGAGAGTTCTGATACTTCCCTTTTTGTCTTTTTTGCATCTGGCCAGGGGAACACAGAAATGAAGAATTGTGGCTGGGAATAGCAAGCCAAAATTTCCACGCTGCCTCTGTAATACTTGTGGGAGGAGATTGTGGTCAGCTGTTTTTACTGGGGAGCTGCAATTCGCAGCCTGATACAAACCCAAACAAACAGAAATACCCAACCACAGCGGTTGTATTTATTTATTTGTTGCTCTTTGCTTTGGGAGCTGGAATAGAGGAAGTAGCTCCCTAACTAGTTTTACAGTGAAGCTCGGTACATTTATAAATAGGCTCATCTCAAGTGGTTTCCTGTGATACGGAAGATTAGACTCGATAACTCAGGAAGCATCTTCCAGTCCTTCGACGATGATGACCATGCTGACCCTGATAAGAGTCTCACTTTCTTGGACTCTCTCTAGCAAGTGAAGCATGGCAGTACGGTTTAGTTTAGTGGTAACCAGGGATGCAATGGAAACAATATCATTCATTCAATCCAAGAGATTTGCTTTTTCCAGTGATGTCCCAGCCAAATGAACCTCCCTCCCTTTTCTCCAGGAGTTCTGTATGTCATGCCTCGTATGTATAAAAGAGGAGAGGATTGTATTTGGATTACCCCAGCTCTGGTACTCCTTGTGTAAGCATTACGGATATTTTTGACTGTCCTTTTCGATTGTAGT